TTCCCATTGAGACCCATTTACCGTATACCAGTGGCGTATCTAAGCATTTTTAATATTGGCAAACCGTTTGATAATTCCATCCGCTTTTATCTTCGTTGTAAATTGAGATATCGGAATGAAAACTTTTTTGCTTAAAAGCTTATTTTCATATACTGAATCCAATTGGTCTGTGACGTCATGGCTTACTTTGGATTTTTCCGGATATAACTTAAAATCGCCATTTATTTTTTAATTTAAAATCGAAACCTCTTTTTGGTTGAAAATTTGAATTACTTGGACAATATTGTACAAGAAGCGTGTAATAAAATTTTACTGTCAGCTGTCAAAATGGCCGCCATATTGGATAATATTTTTTCTAAACATATGGGAGTGTATGATCTTTATAAAATCATTGTTAGTTTTAAAATTCCTATTAAGACCCACTTACAGTACACCAGTGGCGTACCTAAGCATTTTTATTATTAGCAAACCGTTTAATAATTCCATTCTCATTTATCTTCGTTGTAAATTGAAATATTGGAACGAAAACTTTTTTTTTAAGCTTGGAACAAATACTATCATATACAGGATTCAATTGGTCTGTGACGTGTGTTGAAAATTTTCTGTCAGATGTCAAAATGACCGTCATATTGGATAATCTATTTTTTAATATGTTAATGTTAATTCTTTTATGGAAAAAAATATGGGCATTTTTGTGAGCTTTAAAATTCCCATTAAGACCCATTTACATTGTACCAGTGGCGTTTCTAAGATTTTTGTTATTGCAAACCGTTTAATAATTTCACCCGCTCTTATTCCTTATTAATTGAGAAATCGGTATGACAAATGTTTCAAAGCTTGGAATAAATAATGTCAAATCTGTGACATCAAGGCTTACTTCCGGTTTTTCGAAAATAACAGTAAATCGCAATTTATTTTTTCTTTTTAAATATCAATGTTAATTTATTATTGTATGGTGGGTATTGTTTTATTATATTGATTCCTTAAATCTTTCTGATGAAATTAAGCTACTTTAAAATTTAAAATAAAAAACATTTCTTAAATTTAAAGATCTGTTGTGTGTCGTATTAATTTATTGTTATGCTACTGTGCCTTAAAGTACGTACATTATGCGCACTACGGAGTGCATAAAGTTGTACTTTTTTCACTAGTGCGTATAATACAACTTTTTACGCACTAGTGCGTCAACAAGACACAATTTTTGACATGACAAATGACATTTTATTTCAAACTCTTTAAAGTAAACTTTGTATTTTTAATTTTAGTCTGCAATATGTACGGTAGTAGAAATATCGTATGCAATTCGTATGTAAAGGCCTTTTTTAAAGGCCACCTTATACACTTATTATAAGCATAAATAACAATTTTTGTTATTTTATTTATCAGTAGGTAGTTGACTGATGTAGTGGTTACAAGCGCTGAAATTGTATAAATTCAGTTCGATGACAGATATGCTCAAGAAATATAAATTTTCAATAAAAAAATGGGTTTCCATTTAAAAATAAAAAGTTAATTGCAATTTACTATTATTTTCGAAAAACCGGAAATAAGCCATGACATCACAGACCAGTTAAATCAATTATTTGACAATAGTTATTCCAAGATTTTAAACAAAAAAATTTTCATTCCGATATCTCAATTAATAAGAAAGATAAGAGCGGGTGGAATTATTAAACGGCTTGCTAATAAAAAAATTCTTAGATACGCCACTGGTATACTATAAATGGGCCTTAATAAGAACTTTATAGCTCACAAAGATTTTATACATTCCCATATTTTTTCCATAAACGAATTTACAATAACATAATAAAAAAAATATTAACCAATATGAGTCATTTTGACAGCTGACAGAAAAATTTCAATACACACTTCTTGTCGGAAAATGTCTCAAAAATTAAAATTTTCAATAAAAAAAGGGGTTTTCATTTTAAAACTAAAAATAAATTGCGATTTTCAGTTATACCCAGGAAAATCGGAAGTAGGCCATGACGTCATAGACCGATTGGATCAAGTAAATAAAAGTATCTGTTAAGGGCGTTTTAACAAAAAAGTTTTCATTCCGATATCTCAATTAACAACGAAGATAAAAGCGGATGGAATTATTAAACAGTTTGCTAATAATAAAAATGCTTAGATACGCCACTGGTATACGGTAAATGGGTCTTAATGATAATTTTGAAGTTTACAAAGATTTTATAAAGATCATACATTTCTATTAATTAATAGTAACATGCTTAGAAACAATAGTATCCAATATGGCGGCCATTTTGACAGCTGCCAGAAAATTTTTAATACACGATTATTATACAAAACTGTCCCAGCAATTCAAATTTAGAATAAAAAAAGTGGGTTTCAATTTAAAAATGAAAATAAATTGCGATTTTCTGTTATTTCCGGAAAAACCGGAAGTAAGTCATGACGTCACAGAATAATTGAATTAATCATAAGAAAGTATTTGTTCCAGTCTTTTCAACAAAAAAAAAATTATTTCGATATCTCAATAAATAACGAAGATAAGGGGGGTGGAACTTTTAAGTGGACCACCCTGTATATGTTAGTTATTTGTGCTTGATAGATTTCTTTAGGAATTAACTCTTTGGATGAAAAAGTTTAACATTTCCAAACATGAAATACAATTAATCCATCTTGGTATTTAATAACTTAAACAAAAATATCACTGAGTGCATTGCTCTTCTTGTTAAAAGACTACATGTATTAATTAAAACGCTTTAGATGATAGCTTTGAGGAATTATTTCATGGGATCAGTACAATCACCTAAAAAACAAGCTGATTTGATAGAATCTTTCGTTGATAGATGATAAATGTGATTGAAATATATTGGACTCCAAACGGTATTCGCATGTTCTAATTTTGACAAGACCAATGAGAAGTCATTGAATAATATCTTATGCCTTGTAACAAAACCTAAAATTCGATGAAAAAAGGCACCAAGATAATTAGTTTTGGTCAATTTAGTGTAGAATTTTGTAAATTTTAATTATTATACATTATAGGTCCTTTCTAGTAATAACAGCCTCATGACATCCCTTTCCAAAAACAATTTAATATTTTCCCCGATTAACTTCATTCGTTAAAGACTTCAAATCAAAAGTGACCATAAAAGTAGAAAGCAGAAGGAATCAACAACATGGAGGAGGAGGAGGATAGAAAATAACATGCATATTAATATTATACTAAAAAAAATGCGTAACGATATACATATATAAAATAATAAAACTATATTCTAAAAAACTAGTTGGTAATATTTAAAATTTTTAATATACTGGATAAAAAATTATGTTATATTATGTATTTTCATCACCATAAAAATTGTATTGTTAGGCGACTTAAATGAAATATTTATAGATTATTTTTTGCTCATAGTAAGTTTTTAAATTGTATAGCTACTACCATTGATAATAAAAAAAGAAAAAATGCCTCGTGCACATTTCCACTGACTAGAACGAAAAATAATTACACTTTTATTGACTGGAAAACTGTCTGTTACATATCCTTAATATAAATATTCCTACATCTAATTCGCTTAATGTTCTATCGATTAGCATCAGACACGTGTATAAATCGACTAAATCGTAAACAAACAGATCCGACGTACAGACAAACAGTTTTTAGATCAAAGAGGTAAACAGGTAACAACGTTACCTTCGATTTCAATGTTTTTATTATGCTTTTCAGGGTTTTTCCAGCTTTCCGCCTAATTGTTTACGTGGTTTTATATGGAAAAAAATATTCCTAGAATATGCATAACTCTGTTATAATTAATATTAAAAAATGGTGGAAAAGTTGTGGTGTCTGCTTTTGGAATGTGTGTCCTTATCTACTGATGACATGTTGACCAAAGAACAACAGTGAACCTTAGTCTTAAAAATAGTAATAGGTTTACGAAGAATGAAAAACAAAGTCTGTCAACTACTGAATATTATTTGATATTAAAAAAATATATATTTTCATTTTCAATTTCGACCCTAAATGAACTTAATAGTAAACAAAAAAATTAAAAATAACATTTCTTTAAAAATTAATGATAAATTCATGAAAGATCCGCTTTTAATTTTTAAAATGTCTATTGAATATTTTATAAACAGCTAAAAATGCATCTGATTCTGAGATAAATTACTCTACTGTACCACAGTACCACAGTACCACAGTACCACAGTACCACAGTACCACAGTACCACAGTACCACAGTACCACAGTACCACAGTACCACAGTACCACAGTCTAAAGTACCACAGTCAACTGTTTACAAAATTTTACAGAAAGGAGCACCACCTAGTAAGGTGCGACATGATTCTGGTTCATCTCGTTCCACTCCACAGCAGTGATGCCAACTCGTGGGAAATTTCCCGATTCGTGGGAAATTAGCGACATCAAAGGGAAAAGGGAAATTTTTACCAAAATTGCAATATTCGTGGGATATTTCTTCTTCACAATTAATCGCATCTTTCCACGAAAAACGCAAAAATATTCTGTTGGCAACACAGATAGTATTATTTTGGCAGGAGTACTGTTAAAGAGAGAACGCATTCGCAGTCCGATTTTATCGTGAAGGTGCTAGTTTCGAACGCACTCAAAAATTCCAATGAATCAAAATGTATGCATTCGCGAGCGCACCCTGGAGCGAGTTGAGGTGATACGCTGGGCGTACCCGGGTGATATTGCCGTCTTTGTTGTTTGTATTTCTTCAGACAAAGAGGTATCGATTCTTTGGCGCGACCGATGTATTATCTGAACTCGCTCCTGTTATTAACCTGTGACTAGCTTCGGAATAAATCGAGTTTGAGGATTAGGGAATTCACCGAAAAATAAATACAATTTATTTTATTTTGTTGTCACTGTACTGTACTCACTGTAAGGGTAAGATTAGGTAGTTAATCTGTGATAATACTTCAATAAATAAGAACGAGTTTATCTTGTAATTTTTTGATTAAGCTAGTGTTGGTTGGTGCGAAAGTCAGTGAATAAAAATAGCTTTGAAATGTCTAGTTCATCAGACGAAAACGATGGACCCCCCAAAAATAAATACATAAATAAAGCCAAAGTGTTTCAAAATGCATGGCTAGATAATCCTCTCTATAAAAATTGGTTGACCTCAATGAAAGGAAATTTAGAAAAGTGCAGGTAAGTGATATGGTTCAAAATTTGATTTTTACTATTCAATTTTTAATCTCATTAGATGTTCTGTCTGTAACACCACTCTTGCATGCGGAAAATCCGAGCTAGATAAGCATGCAAAAGGGCAGAAACACATTAAAAAAATGGCTGCTGTAAGAAGTACACCCAGTGTTTCCACATTTGTCAGAGCCCCAGATCAACACAATAATCAAGTAAAATCCCTAGAAATAGGAATATCTGCATTTTTTGCAGAGCATAATATCGCATTTCAGAACGTTGACCACCTAATAGATGTCCTAAAGAATAAAATACCAGATTCAAAAATCGTGAAAGATGTAGCACTTCATCGAACCAAAGTAGAGACTGAAGAAATAACTCAATTTTTGAAAAATCAAAGATTTTCAATTCTTTTAGACGAGTCTACTGATATTAGTGAAAAAAAGCTGTTATGCCTTTTAGTAAGTATATAGCACAAACTTCATTTTTTGAATGTGAAAGTTTGCAAATTATTGTTGTTTTAGGTACGATACATTAATAAAGAATTTAAGATTTGTACAACATTACTGGAATTGATTGAATTGGATGCTAAAGACTGTTCCGCAGCAGTCTTGTTTACAGCAATTAATAACTGCTTTGACACTAAAGGCATACCATTTCAAAATATTGTCGGAGTAGCATCAGATGGAGCGGCAGTGGAAAAACCAATTCATTTTTTTCGAGAGTTAAAGAAGAAATTCCTCATGCGCTGCTAATGCAATGCATATGCCATTCCAGTGCAATTGTGGCTAGCAAAGCTTGTGCTGAATTGCCTAGAAGCCCAGAAGAATTAATAAGAAATATTGGTAACTATATATCTGGCAGTGCAAAACGCTGTGCAATTTTATGTGAGTTTCAAGAGTTTTTTCACATGGAAAAGCACAAGATACTAAAACTTTCTGCAACTAGATGGCTTTCCATGCATCAATGTGTATCAAGAATACTATAAAATTGGGATGTCCTGCAGAATTATTTTTTAGTAGCGGTTTCAGAAGACCATTTAAAAATTGCAAATACAATTTTAGAGGACATGAGAAATCCTCTTTCAACGCTCTATTTCAAAGTCGTGCAATTTTGATAGATCAATTATATGAAAGATGTTGTACCTACAATTTTAAGGCAACTTTCTCAAAATTTTATAAAACCCCAATATGTTTATCAATGTTTAACTATTAATGTTAAACACCCAGATCACTTACTTACTATTGAAAATATCCGCCTAGGAACTACCTGCACTGAACATTTGAAACAAATACCTGCAGATTTAGTTTATGAGTTTCGAATTAAATGTTTGAATTTTTATATAACTGCCACGCAGGAATTACAAGTACGTATGCCCATACATAACTCTGTGATGACAGAATTTAAATTTTTACGCCCAGATATCGTATTAGATATTCAGCGCAGAGAGGCAGAAACTCTTAACACATTAGAATTTTTAGGGAAGCAGTATAACTCTTTGGTTGACGTCAATAAACTTGATTTTGAGTGGCAGAGTCTACCGTTTCATTATTCGGAAAATAAGAAAAAAGAGCTTTCTGACCTGACCATAGAAAAGTTTTGGAAAGAAATAAGTGAGGCAAAAGATTTTAATGATACCTTAGTGTTTAGTAGTTTAAGCAATGTCGCTAGAAAAGTTATGTCTTTACCTCATTCTAATGCGGAGGCTGAAAGAATTTTTTCTATGGTGACAGACATAAAAAATAAAAAAAGAAACCGTTTATGTAACGATACCCTAAATGCAGTGAAATTGGAGGAAAGCAGTAATACTGCCAATATATAAGAAAGGGGACCCAGCAGACTGTGAAAACTATCGAGGTATAGCTTTGCTGGACGTTACATATAAGGTACTAGCCACGTTAATAAAAAGAAGAATAGAAATGGAGAAAAAATTATCGGAGAATACCAATGTGGCTTTAGAAAAGGCAGGTCAACAACTGACCAAATCTTTATTTTAAAACAGGTATTCACATGTTGCTACGAATACGAAATACCGACACATATCATGTTTATTGATTTTAAAAGCGCATATGATACAGTAAATCGACGAAAATTGGTAAATGCATTGAAATAACTAAAAATACCTCCTAAACTTGTAAAACTGACAAACATGACCCTGGAAAATACAAGGTGTGCAATAAGAGTAGGAGGTGAGGAAACTGAAGAATTTGAAGTCCAAAACGGGCTTAGGCAGGGAGACCCATTATCCACCCTTCGTTTTAACATAACCCTTGAAATAGTCATCAGAAACAGTGAAATAAACAGATATGGAACCCTGATCAACAGATCCCACCAAGCATTAGCATACGCCGATGATGTACTGTTAGCGAGAAGCCAAAAAGAACTTAAAAACATAACAGAACAGTTTTTAGACGCGGCAGGAACAATGGGGCTAAAAATAAATGAAAAAAAGAGTCAGTACATGCAACTGAAAAACAAACATTTAAGAAAAAATCCTGGAAAACTAGAATTACAAACTAAAACCATAGGAAAAATAACAATAGACGAAACAGACAGTTACATGTACCTCGGTGTTCTCATTACAAATAGATGCGAAGAACAAGCTGAAATAGATCTCCGTCTAGCAAAGAGCAATAGATGCGCAGGAGCATCACATAATTTACTTAAATCTAAAGAAATGTCATGGGAATTAAAGACGTGTGTGTACAAAACAATCAGGGACTACTTTTGAACCGTTTAAGTCTCCAGGTGTGGATGAAATATGTCCTGACCTGCTTCAGCGAGCACAGGAGGAATTACCACCACACATTTTCTGGATATTCCGGATCAGTCTAGAACTGGGATATATACCAGAATCATGGAGAAGGACCATAGTCACTTTTATTTCAAAAGTAGGGAAAAAGGATACCTCATATTCTAAGTCCTTCCGACCAATTAGCCTCACATCCTTTATCAAAAACAATGGAGAAGGCTTTCGATAATTATATCAGAACAGAAGTCCTTGAGAGAGTGTCACTCCACCACAGTTAGTACGTGTACCGAGCAGGAAGATCTACATAAACTGCCCTGGTACAGCTGACTGACCTAATCCAGGATGCCCTGACAAACAAAGAAACGATCGTGTATGTCTTCCTAGACATAGAAGAAGCATTTTACAACACAGCACACGAATCTGTTAAAAGAGCTCTTTCATATAGGCGAGTAGATAGCACCACATTCAGATCGATGGCTCAGCTGATATCTACAAGAATTGCAGAGACTCAGATAGGGCAGGACATTGTCTCCATCTGCACAACCAGAGGATGTCCACAAGGACTCAATTTACTCAGTAATTGGTACTCGTAAGTACTTTCATCCTGTTGGGACTCATACTTAATTTTTTTTTAGTATTTTATACTTTAAAGTAATCAGTACTTCTGATTCGTACAGCTAACGAGTAACGAATACGAGTATCGACGTACGCGTATATTATAATGGGGTTGTAGTTCCTTTGGCGTCTTACAAATATTTCAAAAATATAATAAATAAATAATATTGATCGATAAATTTTGAATTTGATAAGACACTAAATCTTTCGCTTCGATCCTTTGTTATTGTTCCCGGTTTTTCTGCTTTCTGCTTTAACTCTTGAATTTCTGCTCCTCCTCTTCTCCTGTCTTGGCTCTTCTTGCTGTTTTCCTATACTGTCTCCTCTTACTCCTTCTGCTGAACTCTCCTTCGAGCAATTCGATACACACTTATCTTTAATTTAAATAAAACTTTTTTTATCTTTCTTTTGTTTATTCTTTTCTTTCTTATTACAACACTACAATATAAAATCAATCTTAACTTTAATAAATATTTTCTTACTGACTTTATAATTTTCAAAATCTCACTACCATCGACGTCACAACCCTGAGGCAATTTTTAATAGCTTATCGACGCCAATAATATAGGCCAGAAAATACAGGAACGTATGTTAAATGACGGAATCATAAAATATACGCGTGTGTTAGATTTTGTTAATTATCAAGTCAAATAATTATTTAGTTAGCAAGTGATTACAGATAGAACACCACAATATCATCAGCAACAACAGCTGATCACACGATAGATACTCAAGGCGACTCAAACTGTTCTGCCTGGAGGAGCGCTGGACGGTCCCGCTACTACCGCCTCAGATCCCCGCACTTCCCGCTCTTGACTGCCGATGTTCTTTCTTTACCGTACTACAATTAACAAAAATGTATTTACTGCTAACACGTGTATATATGTTTTAAAATATATGACTGTTCTTTTGAGTATTCTTTATCTGTATCTCTTCCCCCATCTAATACCTCTATTACTTTACATTAACATTAAAATGTAAAAGTTCGGCGTACACGTTATTGGTAATTGTTAACTCATTAATAGAAGATAAGTAATACTCTTTGTTTATTACTTACTGACTTACTATTACAAATTACTATAATTTCTTCTATAATAAAATACCAATAAACCAAAATCAGACATCGAAGATCTACTAAAGCTTCCAACAGAATTTATAGCCTCGGTAACTTTGTGTCTACTTTGAATCCGGACCTGGGATCACGTGATTCCAAAGAGGAATAACCCCTGATTCTGCACGCTTCTTCTTTGTAGAATCGAGGCGGTAGATCCCGATTTATCTCGTTTTTTTTTCTCGAAAAGTTATGTCCCCGATTTATATAGTGAGACATGGTCGACGACCCAACTCTGGGAATCTAACGTGTCTGCTGGGTTGTTGGACTCAAGATGTCTGCGTATTTTTAGTCGGAAATTAATCTAAAAGAAGAAGTTAACTACTCGTGTGTGTAGAAATTTTTATAGGCAATTTAAACTACTATATTACGAGAAATGTTTAGAAGACAGTATGATGGGTTTAATAAACGTTCACCCTGTATAATTAATCTATATTCAGTTTAATAATTTAGTTTGTTTCTAATTAATTTTATAAAATTATTTAAATTAGTAAATTTTTAATTAGTTCAGAAATATTTATTTATTACACCCTTTACTGGGTGCGAATGGCAATACATTAACAAAATTAATATAAATGTTAAAGAAGAAAGAAAAAAGGCGAGTGGCTACACAATACAACAGAAACATCCAAAAAAACTGATATAATTAAAAGTTGGGATTAGGATATTTAAAACATTATCGAATTAAACATTTTTAATCATAATATACTTGTTAAATGTAAAAATATCCAAGCTATCTTGAATGTCATTATTTTTCTCAATTAAATTTTAATATATTGTTGAATAGGTCAAAAGAAGCAACTGTCTTATGAAGTCAGTAGACCCCGATCAAGTTAATCAAAAAATAAAACAAAATATTCATTTGAAAAGTGCCATGAACAAAAGCACAAGCTGTGACAAATGGATTTAGTCCAATGTCAAAAACCCTTCATTCTAATGGGAACTTCTCACACACATATGAAGGGTACAGGGGAAAAAAATGAACATCACAAAAACTAGTCCATGAGTAAAACGATTTTAAAAATATGTAGACTTGTTATACCTTACATCTAAAAAGATTAGAAATTCAAATATTTTGTATATGTATGTTTACTTATTCTGTGTATATCGTCTATACCAGTTCGAAGACATTGGCGTAGGTAAAAATAATGTATGAGGGTTATGTATAAAATTATGTATAAATCTGGTAAAAAATATATTCTTTATCAGTATAATTATAAATCAAACATTTTTGGCTATAAGATTCTGGTACTTCAAAAAAGCTCTAGGAATTCGTT